ACACATATTCCACACTCACATCAGCAACCACAACTACACCCTGGGACTCCAAAACACCGGCCCAGACCAAGCTTAAGGTTCTCGTGAAGAGTTTGAACCTGTGTAGCAATACAGCAGTAAGGCAGCTCTTTACCTGACAACCCTGGAACAGCTGCACCAGCCGTGTGTGCGTGCTGGGAGCCACTGGCTTCACATCCCGGAAGCACAGCTGGACCGTAGAGGTAGGCCAAGGCACAAGACGTTGGTACCAACATCAACTCCAACTCAGGAGTGGCCCATCGCGCAATACCCCACAAAAACACAGGAAGAGTGCCGTCTTCCTCAATCCGATATATGCGAGCGCTGTCTTTCTTGGTGATTTGGCCTAGTGCAACGAGCACGTCATTCCTGGACTTCACGGACCCCTTCGCCTCGCATCTCCAAGGGCGCGCGCGACATAGTCGTCTCTGAAACACCGTGAAGCCTGAAGAAGATTCCTCGATAAGAACACTGCGCTAGACAAAGTGACAAACAGGCACAAATACACGGAACATCCGTAGTTTTCAATCAATAGCATAACGCCGCCCTTAGACAACATACAACACACACAACATTTCAGATGGACAAGCATTAATAACAGAGAAGCTCTCTCATACACTTCTCCCCTCGGAACTATAGTCTTGAAGACAGAGACGAAAACCTCCAGACCACTACCTAATCTCTGTCTCGCTGACAATGTAATGTGAGCTTGCAGTCCACCTAACACCTCAAAAAACCCAAACACACACACAGCACAGACAACCCCCAAAACACAAAAAACACCCATATCCACAGAACACAACACACAAAAACAGGAATACCTATACAGCGCGCGTGCGAGGGTGCAGACGCAGAATCTACGAAGTAAGACCTACATACACAAACTCAGACATAGTGTAACACCCATAGTTTTATATACCATCGCTGCTAGAGCGTACCACAGCCATATCAACCAATATTACCTTATAAAAACAATAGAGTGAGTAATTTATTTCAAGGTCCTCTACTTTTCTCTTCGATAAATCACTTTTTTAGATAATTAATAGCAAATACATTATAGTGATTACAATACAATATATATAACAAAAAATATATCATCGAGCTAAATTGACCCCCTGCAACGTAACTCCATATAGACTTACCACCAATACACCATACCCAGATAAAAAGATGATCAACGTAACACGCTGTATTAAATATTGAATTATATCCCAGTAGCATAGCGCATATATGATTTTATGGCAGCAGAACATAGTCACTGATCCTGTGAACTCATCCACTATCCCTCATACAACTGAACGTTAACAAAAGGACACATGCCCCAAAACTACGTAATAATTACTTTAGACTCAAATAAACAACACATACATACATCAACAAAAAAACGTATCCGACACATGCAATTTTCAATATAGGTATTTATATACTTGTTGTGAACACTACAAAAATCTTTCAGATTTCTGTTGAAATTTCATCAGACGCTCATTTGTCATATCATTAACGTGTCCCTTTTTTCTTGGGTTTCCTCTGTGACACACATCATACAACGTACTCTTATCAGATAACTTAGAGATCCAGATTAACCTTTGCAGATAGAGTCTTCTTATTGGGGATCCAAAGTTAAAGGATTTGTACCTCTCATATATACCACACTTCCCTACAGCATAAAGAACTTCGTTTGCTTCATTCTCATCACGACGCGTGGGAGAGCTTGCGCTCTTTTATCTCCACAGCATGATACTTACAGAAAGATAGGGTTGTTTACAACCCACATGAAAAAATACCGATCAACAAACACTAATATCACACACACAACACTACATATTTTATTAAATCATATTCATTCAGCGCATCGAGGGTAACACAGCTGGAAAATTACCAGTATATATACTTTCCTAGACCTACAATACATGTGATCAATATTTAATATTGCCCTATACTGACAGATTTCAATAAACAGTTTTTAACTTAACTAAAACCAACATAGCAGGTACCAGCCTGTATGCAAACACTACAACAAAAAACACACTCCTATTTCTGGAGGATCTGTATACCATAGTCAATCTACCCAACACTCTGCATCATTCAAACCATACAGAAGAATGAAGAAATACGCCTGTTCAGCAGAACACAGCGCAACAGCTGTCCGAATGATGTCATACAGCTACGAAGCATATAACCATATGCAAAACACAGGACACACATCACACAATCCGACTAAACAAAACATATAGACAAGCGTATAATACACAGCAACGTCGCAGCAAGATCACAGTCTATACAGGACAAGCCAGACAACCCCAACACAGCACAAAGCAATCGTCACAGCGCACACACACACTACCCAGCCACTCTTCACGGATTCGGAACAACCAATTAAATCAAACAATAACATCACAAAAAAAAATTATACATATATACATAGGACAGACGAAAAACAAATTAGGATAGACAGAACACACAACTGTTCATTTGCCACACTCGGCCACACACAGAACAAATATCAAACAATAACATATAGCAAATAAAGAATAATCGTCGTATACATACATACAAGAACATATTAACTAGACACAACACTTCGCAGGATAACTATATAGATAAACAGACAGGCGACAAAACTAGGAGAAAAAATAGACATACATATAAATACCATGCTATAACTCTCTATATTATATAGATGGCAAGATAATACCAATAACTCTTAACTATATACAATGGACTCGCAGCATAACCATTCTTACATATAGATCTAGACTACCAACAATGATCACATACTTTTCAGGTCAATCGCGAGAGGTTGACTACAAAGCGACTCTTCTGGGAGAATTATATCGGGACTTGAGCTATTACCTTCATTCCCATGCGAGCATGCTTGCTCAAGTCGTTTCCTCTTCTTGTGATTGGTATTCCTCAGCTGTTGATAGTTCGAACACTGCAAGGGGCACGGGGCAGACACGTGCACCGGTACACACATCTTACCCATCTGCTTCTACATACTCAATTCGCAACGACGGACACAACAAGACATACAACATTCAACACCTGTGCTGCATCGCATGCTCCGCCGCCTATTCCGTACGTGTATAATCACGAAGCTAAACAAGGAACCGACTAGATAGTGTACTAACCTCATCTCAAGCAATTCAACTCAACATCACTTGATCAGAACAACATCACAAATCATACCACCATGCTTCGATCTGCATTTCCTTGTAAAATTTCAAATTTTCTCATCGTCCTAATTCCTTCCATCTGTCAGAATAGCTATTTATGCACTGGCAACCTTTGCAAAATGTCTTACCATTAGCAGAATAATTTTCCATTACTGCTGCCTAACCCAGATGGGCTTCTATTTTGACCTGGCTCTTACGACATTAGACACATAGAGGCCGGAACTGACATCTTTGTAAACCTAATACATAGACATTTAGAGTGGGAAACAACAAGAGCCAACCCAGATCTATACTGGAAGATTGCTCATACAGCTGGGAGGTCAGCACATATCGGGAAGCGTGCTAGACAATTCCTGTCGCAACGATGTCTTACCGGAGAATGACGTACCAGAAACCTACAGAATTTCTTGCCGACCCATACACAGTTCCATACAACAACAATGCATCAAGCTCATTAAATGATCAGACCATGAGGGACATACACTACACAAGAAAAGACGTGGATATCTTGAGACAAGTTTCAGGTGCTCCGCAACATAAACGACAAGCGATGCGCCCGTGTCATATGACACGTTGTATAGTCACTGTATCCACACTCAATCTTCTGTCCCGGTCTCTGCCTAGAAATCCAACTCTCCCCTAAAATAAAGCAGGAACAAATATTTATAGAATATACTCTAAATTAATAAGCAGATCACCACAGATACAATCACCTGTACAATACAAATACACAACAACACCCTGCAATCGTACTCATTCTATGAAATAGCATATTTTCGTACATCAATTACTGTCTGAAAATAAGCTCATGCACTGTGTATCATCTATCTCTCGACACAGTATACTAAACAATTGTAAGTCATCAGATACCCTGACTCAGCAAGACAAAACAACATTATCAAGGTTCATTCCTTCTCCTACTGCTCTGATGGCAGCCAGTAACTACATTCTACATACAAGAACGACCGAGAAAATCCTGAGAGTTTGAGTCTGTTGAATCTTCATTCCCGAGACAATCGGTATTTTGAATGACATAAGAGAGACAACAACGCAATCTAACATCCTTATACTTTCTGCAAAATCTATAATGGATTGTCTGATTCCTTCCAACTGGTACCACTCAATAATCCAAATGAGAAATAAGATCCACACCATTCACCCAATAACACAGAACTACTACTAACCACTCCCTACAACAACTTCCATCACAAGAGATACCCAGTAGCGAAAGAAGAAAAAAACCTAACGCAGCACGACCGAGAGAAATAGGAAATCGAGTATTGACTCGACAAATACCCTTGAGGACGCTACTAACGAGAAACGACGTCCAAAGAATATCTACTCTTTTCTGATTCTATGTTACTTATCATGCTATCACGACTGACCTTAATATCAAGTAAAAGTCCTAGCATAATACACTCGCCAAAATATACCATTTCCTGCTAGAGCATCTCATACCGCGGCTGCTTATCGTTTCAGGTGTTTCGTGAGTAACACCGAACACATCCCACGTCTGAAAACATAAAGCACTTCAAACACCACAATCCCTTTTTTTTCTGAATAGAGCACCAA